TGCCCCAGCCAGCCATGCTGGCTGGGGCATTCCGGGAGTTGAAGTCCACCCATCTTAAACTCAACAAGGTTGAGAAACACTGATGTAGATGGTCACCAGATGAGATGTTGCTAATAGAGATGGGTCTTCACCAGTCTGGGTCCCATGTCTCTCCTGGTGAAGGTGTGGTGGTGGTGGTGATGATGATGATGATGATGCAGATTCGGAGTTCCAGCTCTTGGTCTTTGCTCACTTCTAGTCTGAGGAGGGGGACGTTCCAAATGGTGCCTCGCCTGCTGATAAACTTGAGTCAAAATTTGCACAGCTCCCATTTTTATGGGACAAAGGTCCTTGAATTAAGCTGCGTTTGAACCTAATTTCCCGGTTGTTCAGCCACAGCTGCAATTTCAAGCAAGTTGCATCAGATAAGGCAAGGCTGGCGTTGCAAGCGTTCACACACAGGATTTGCGGCAGAGAGCGCTTCAGTGTTGCTTATTTCTCACTGGGGGGGACTGTTTATCGATCGATCTCTCTCTCTATATTTTCTAGGAGAATGAAATATCTGTCTGGTCCTGGGCTCATCCACCAGGAAATAATATACAAGCCTATGTAGAAATATCCTGGCTGTTAGGATCAAGTTGTTCCCAACAGAAGTGGTACCTGGGGGCAGGTAAGGACTCTTATCAGAAATAAGTGCCCGGGTCCCGACTCAGCTGCCATATATTTGCGGTAAGCTGGAGATAAAAATGGAATGGCGCAAAATAGAACTGGAGCTGGGTTTCAAAGCTGAGGTTGGCCTCCATTAAAATGCAACGCGTTTGAAAAACCCGTCCAGCTGGAGGAGGCAGCATCGTATATCTGCTCCCCTGGAACAAACACTCCATATGAATGAACGGCCAGGCAAGGCTGGAGGGGCATGTGCAAAAAACGGGGGGGGGGTGCATTTCCAGCCTATTCAACTGACACCGGCGGCCAGCTGGGCCCAGAAAGGAGAGCACAAAAGCACCGGCGTGTTAGCCCCATTTAAAATGCAAAAGCTGATGAAAGGCCAGAGGGAAAATGCTTTGCCCAACGCACGCTTCGGTTCAAAATCGTGCTTTTTTTTTTTTTTTTAGAAAGGAGAAAACGTTGGGGCAGAGTTGGGGCTTCCCAGCTGCTAAGGAACTGTTTGTGCGGTGGGATAAACCATGTCAGGTTTAATCTTGGGTTCCCCCTCTTTTTTTTTTTGCTTTGTTTTTATGGAGCAAACCCAGCCCCTTAGATAAGGTTCAGTGTATTGCACCCATCCAGAAAATGGGTCTCTTCATTTACCAGGGAAAACGTGTTCTGCGGGGATTAGACTAGGATCAGGCAGTCCCAGGTCCCGTCTTAATTGTTGAAAGCTTTGGGCCAGTCTTTCTCCTTCAGCCGACGCTACCTCGCAGGGCTGTGAGGGTGGGAGGGCTTTAGGCGGTCCTAAAGAGAAGAAAAGAATGACCGTTGTAATGTGTCGTCATAACGTTTATCGCTAGGTCCCGCAACGTCTTTCCACTTAAAGCCTTCGAAGGCCTCCGCTCAGGGCGGATCCGCCAAAGTAACAGAATCTGTGAATTGGAAGGGGTTGCATCTAGACCCACCCCCCGTTTAATGCGGGGACTGGAATTCGAGCCTCACGGACGGAGCGCCGTCTGGCCTCTGCGGGAACAGACCCAGGGAAAGGAAGGCCGGGGTGCCGGTCCCGTGCCCGTGGGAGGTTTTACTCGCCTTCAGCTGGGGTCTGCCGGGCGTTTGGCGATACGGAGCTACAGCCCTGATGCCGTCTGGGCCCCAGAAAAGGGGAAGCTGGCTTGCCCTCCCGCTGCATGTCCAGCCTGAACTGATTCGGGCTGCCACCATCCAGCCCTCCCGGTCCAGCGCCAGGGCATCAGGGCGTACCTGCTTTATTTGCCCTGTTCAGCCAACCCGGTAGCCCCTTTTCTGATGATCGCGCCTTATTCAGAGTCAGAAGCTTTCATGCTTACGCCTTTTATGGTTTGAAATAACACATGTTCGTCGGGAAAGGTGTTACTCAACTCCTGGATTTGGGCTACCGCAGGCTAACCCTGCTGCCGTCCTGCCGTCACTGCTCCGCGTGGCTCTGCTCCTGCTTGTGACTCAGCAGCTGTGTGGATTGTGTCCTGTGGCTTGCACCCTCATTCCTTCACCCCCACCCCGTGCCCAGAGCTCCAGTTATAGCAGCCTGGTGACGCACGCTCTCTGCTCCCCCCTCCCTTAATCAAATTTACAACTGCAAACTATTTATACCAGCAGAAGAGAAGCATCACACATCTGCCCTTGCTCATGTTCTAGAAATGTGGCCCTTCTCCAGTTCTCTTGCCTGTCTAGCAGACAAAATCTGTGACCAAGCCAGGGAGAGGACAGGGTGGGCCAAACCTTTTCTCCAGAGTATGAAGTAGGTTTGGGTGATGTTGGGAATAACGAGAGGCGTAGACTGAGGTGGAGAAATGGGCCTCAACCCATGGTCCAAAGCAGACAACGTGGTGAAGCTGGGGAGACATACTGAAATCCCACCTGCCCTGAGTTCCGTCAGGAAAGGAAGGTGGGACGTCCTGCTGTGTACCTAATTTGAACTTCCAAGAGATGCCTGAACAGCCCAGAAAAGCTAGGAGTCTTTTGGAAGACCTTAGGTAGGTCATTAAGTGATAGTTGGAGAGGAACGTTGTGGATATCTCCTCTATAAACAAGTCCCTTCCCCAAATCAGCCAAACACAGCATGCATGGTTCGGCCATGAAAGGCTTGAATAAAGGCTTCAGATAGAGGTCTTCTTCCCCATCACTCAACAGGGAACACCAGCTGATCATTCTGGGGAAGATGCAAATCCATATGATAGAACGAGGCACAAGAGAGGAAGTTTTACCAATGAAATACGATTTCAGATCTCATGTGATGCCGAGGTCACATTTGATGCATGTACGTGGCGGCTTAGGATGTGGATAGGATTCTTGGATCAAGGTGGGTTTTGATCCTTGGTGACTTCCAGCTGATAAAGGTGGACAGGTTGAGTGGGTGCTAGGAATCGTTACCTTTCAGGAACGCTGGGTCTGGCAGTGGCGAAAGCGGTCCTGAGATCCCATTGTTTTAAATTTCACCCCATTTAGCAAGCGTCCCACTTTGGGGTGGGGGGTGAAATAAGATTCCTGACCATGTAACGGTGATCCAAGTCCAAGAACTCAGGTGAACGTGTCCACAACATGGTTCAACCTGGCCGGTTAAAGGTCTAGTGGATGTGTGTACACAACATGCTTCAGTTGATTCATCTTATGCTTGGTGTGTTCGTTATGGTTTTATTTATTTATTTCTTTATTTGTTCAAATTTATATATGCCGCCCATCTCACTATACAAGGAACTCTAGGTGGCTGGTTGAATGTGTTGTGTGGTCCCAGCCTTTGGGTTACTTCATTTGTTCTTTCCATTGTGTGAACCCAGAAAGTAAATGAACCGGGGAAGCAGGTTAAGGCTTTTGTATGAACACTGCCTGTTTTAGGATCCATTTCGGGCTGGTTTGGGATAGAAATAGTTTGGTTGCCTTACTAGATCGTCCATGGTGGAAGTAATGTGTCTTTGGTGAGGGGGGGGTGTCTCTGCCGGGCCCCTTGGCAGCTTTCTATAGTATATCAGTGGTTACAGTCTTGCTCCACCTTCCTGGATTGGGGTGGGGGACATTGTGCGGTTTCAAATCTTTTTTTCCAATAATTCCAGATGGTATGAGGATGGGAGGGGGAGTATCCCGCTGGGTTTGATTTTATCGCCTGTTTTTCAACATCTTTATGAAACTAATGGGGGAAACGTATCCACAGATGTTTGTCATCTAACAAATGCTCTGTTCTCTCTCTCTCTTTTCGAGCATATTCTGGGAAGGCTGTGGAAATTCTGAATCATTGTTTAGAATCAATGAAGGACTACAGGAGGGTCTATAAATTGAAATTAAATCCAGACCAAATAGAGATACTATTGATTAGCAGGATTACCAGTCCACCGATGAGGCTGCGTTTCCTGTCCAAAGATGAAATTAGTAATTTGGGATCTTTTCCGCCTCCTCTTTTCTTGCAGAGATGTTGGATGCTGGCAAAAGTGCCTCATTAAGTGGTCATTTATCCAGCTGGTTCTTTGACCCCTTTTGATTTTGTTCATCTGTTCAGGTCGCAAGATGGGAGCACAAGACCCGGTCACTCACCCGCATTTTCCGCTCTCCCTACGTAGCCTGTTACTTCCTCGGAGCTGTCATCATCTTGCTCAACTTTCTGCGGAGTCATTGGTGAGTCTCCCGTTGGGGGGTATTTGATAGGCCCTGGGCAAAAGCTGAAGGAAATCGTCTCCTTGAGAGTGCTGTGCCCAGCCGCGGGTCTCCCTCTCTTCTAAGAGTGAGAAGAAAGAAGCCCCGCTTGGCGTTGCTTGCGGCCTCCCCAGAACTTGCAATGATTGAAGGAGAGTTCCAGGCGTTCTCTTGCAAAGGAAGCAGCGGTCTTCTCCGCAGCCTCTCCTTAGTATCCTCCATCACGTGCAGAAGCTTTTTCTGGCTTTGGAAAGTGACCGAGAAGGTGAGGGATAACGTGGAGGCTTGCAAGCTAATGCAGAGTGTTTCTTCAAGCGAGTTGCGTTGCCTCTTTCCTTAGGAAAAGAATCACCTTTGCTGTGCAGTGTGGAGCTCCTTGTGAAGCTGAATGTAAGACACCTTGCGCATGAGTTAGTATATGGGCCTTAAAGGAAAAATGGTAGCGTCTGATGGAGTCAAACTCTAGGAAGAGAAGTTCACGTAAGGAAAAAACACCAAACAGTGCAAGTAAAAACTTCAGAATTCATGTAAAAGTCAAGGCAAATGTCAGCCAGACCTTGGATGGTTCCAAGCAAATCTCCTGTCCAAAAAACTGACTCCTATCCTTTAGTTTTTGCTAGATTATATCCTGCTTTTCCTCCTGGGGCTCAAGGTGCCTACATCTGTTCTCCAGCTTGTCCCAACAACAGCCCTTTGAGGTAGGTTGGGCTGAGTGTGGCCTGCCCCAAGTCCCCCAGTGAGCTTCTGTGACTGAGGGTGGACTTGATCCTGGGTCTCTCCTAGTCCAACCCCCACATAGGGTCATAGTATCTCTGTAGGAACTGAAGCCAGTTGTTCAGCTTTGAGTTGAGTGAGGGCCTTTCCCCCAGAGGACACGAGTAGACTGGCCCGCACATGATCTTACAGCCCTTGATGGCCACAAAGTTGGGGAGACAGATTATGCTGGAAGTCCTCCTCTTGAAGAATCAATCAGAAATCATCTCCAGCTAAAAATCATCATTCCAGGCAATCTTCCTCTGCTGGAGTCTCCGAATGTGAGTGGGATCAAGAGTGGCTTGGTGAACCAAGGGTCTGACCTCATTTAAGGCAGCAGCTGTCCCGGCCTTCCAGAAAGGGCTGAAGATCTGGCTCTGCCAACTTGTGTGGGGCGAGAGGGGATATAACCCACCCTGGGGGTGGCTGGCACCTTGAAGACACTCCCCGAATCCAAGATATTTATTATTTATATAGGAAGTCTTTTTATAATGTATTTTAATTCATATTTATTTTATTTGAACTAATATTTATTCTTTTTACTGTAAACCGCCGAGAGTCACTCTGCGGTGAGATGGGCAGTGACAAATTTGAAATATAAATAAATTTAAATCCTCAACTTGATGCCCTCCAAATGGCCTTGGGATTGTAACTGAACACCACTGGAAGATACCAGGTTGGGGCAAATTACCCAGTATTATTCCTATCCATTGTGTGTCTATCTTATCGCTAGTTACAGCAAGGAAGTATCTTAGTCCAGCATCTTTTCCCCCTTTTTAGAAGGAAATGAAAAAAACTTTGGTTGCCCAGTTCTGTTTTCAGGGTTAGCAAATTCTCATGTTTACAGAAGGTTTGAGGATTATCTGTGCATTTAACTCACAGGTCATTTCAACTCTCTTATCTCAGACATGGCAGGATAATGCTCTCCCTCCCCACTTTGATCAGCTCATAATCCAGTATGAATGATGTACTGCACATTATGGTAATGTGTCCTTAGATGTTCTTGTTGCAACTAAGGTGACCTAAGCAGGGGGATCAGCTTTCCGAAAGCTTTCTCAGCATCCACAACAGCTCCAAAGGGTTGATTGCTCTGCACTGGATTTGGGGAGGGGGAGGCAATGCAGAATTAAATCCGGAGTGTAGGGCCAGCTTAGTCTAATCCCTCCTCCCCCCCAGGGCCATGAATATTCCATGGTAGCAAGAAAAAGGGCACAAAAGTCAGCATTCAGGTCTTGAGCTTTATGACGACAAAGGGAACCTTGGAATTAAACTTGCTTTGCGTGTGTGATGGTTTTACTGTTGTCTTTGTACGTCACCCATGAACCAGAATAAATGATGTGAGAGAAGGCAAAAGTTTTTTTTGACTTGTATACAGGTAGACCTTGCTTAGTGACTGCCTCATTTAGCAACTGTTCGCAGTTATGACAGTGATGAAAAAGTAACTTTATGACCAATCCTCGCATTT